AGTTGGGGAACAAGTTAAGGGAGATCTGGTCGTGTCAGGACGAGGGCAAGTTGCGTAGGGCTGAACTCGTGACGAGAGAGTTAGAGAATCTGTTTAGGGAGGAAAGAGAGATTATCCAGGCGTGGAGATCAAACTTTCTGGAGAGGGTAAAGGCTAGAAGCGTATCACGCGAAGAAACTAGTGAGCGATTTGCAGAGAGCGAGACAACGGAAGACAAAGTAACGCAGGGAAGTAGCGACATGACATGAGCGGGACTGCACTACCCACGACGGATCGGTACTTGTTACATGTGGTAGGGAGACTGGACGGACCATTAGTGTTAGTGATCATAGAACTCCAGCTCCATACCAGACTGTGCATAGTTGAGGAGGCAGAGTGTGTCCGCCGCGTGCTGCGTGAGGCTAGGGGAACAGGACTTTGGATTGGAATAGAAGGAGGACGGAGGATAAAATACGTACTCCAAGTGACACCTTTCGAAGGGCGGTCTCGGATAAGGGCATGGTACGAGACGACCAGAGAGGCTGAGAGGTTGAAGATAAGCGAAGCCAGGAAAGCTGGAGAGTTAGGGAGAGTTGTAACAGATGGTGCAATACTCATGATGTTAGCCGCTCACGACCGGTACTGGAAGGAATCGATAAAGACTTTAGAGGCGATAGAGGACGGTGGAGATAAGGAGGACTTTGAAACATTTTATGACATATTGGAGCGGTCGACGATGAGGTTACAAGTGGTTATAGCACTAACTTACCTCAGCTGCTAGACAGATGACCTCGTAGCCGTCTGGGAGATAAGAGAGTGGAAATAGAAATTGGAAGCTCTTGGAAGGATAGTGGAAGCTAGAAAGGTCGATGGGCGACTTTGGATGGCAGTAGGAGGGCCTTTAGCGGGCTAACCGATTCAGGACAGGGCTAGGAGAACTAGCAAGGAAGACGGAGATAGACGCTCGGAGACTCTTGAGGGGTGTTGATTAGGAGACGTTGGCTAGGTTTGGGACTGCGATCTGTCTTAAGGATAGAGGTCCTGTCACGGGTGTACTGCAGATCCGGGGAGGCACGGCCTTGTTGGCCGATCTCGAAGGAGAGGTTTACTTAGACACAGGGATTCTTGGGATAGAGGGAGAGCACGAGATCCGCGACCGGTACGGGATACTGGAAGTGGTAATCAAGGCAGTCGAGAGCTAAGATTGGAGGCGGACGCGGGCCATGACAAGGAAACACGTCTAGGCTGCCGCAACTGTCACAGGTCCGGGCTGCAGCGACTGTTATAGGGTCGGGCTGTAACAGTTGGCTAGAATACCTAACTGCTTCTGGCGGTCCAATGGAACCCGACACGATGGGGCCACAACCGACCACGGGCGAAGCGGGAGAGGAGTACAGGACATCCCCCGATCGAGCTTTGAAGGATCTGAAGGAACGAATTAGGCGAGAAACACCGCTGAGATGGGCTGACCAAACCAATGACGGAGGGTCCGACGTAAGGGGCGAACCAGTTGCGACAGAGCCGCAGGAGGCTCTAAAGACGGGTACCTCGAGCGGACGACGAGAAGCGACGAGGCGACGCTCCCCGAGTACGAGCGGAGGGACACCATAGTGGACAGGCACAGAGACGACTGGAGAGAGAGTTTGAGGGATTCCTATTGGAGGGACAGAGATAGAGATAGGGCGCCGCCCACGCGAGTCTTCGACCCCCAGACAGGGGAGTCACATCTGCTCCCTTACGAGAGCAAGGATTGCTATATTATTACGCACAATGCCTCAGAGCCTCCTACCTTCAGGGGCTATGGTATCACAAAATATCTGGAGAAGTGGGAGCTTCACGCCAGCCGGAGTCAGTGGTCGGAGGAANAAGTGGGAGCTTCACGCCAGCCGGAGTCAGTGGTCGGAGGAAGAGATTATAGAGAACTTCCTATGTAATGTGGACCCAAGTCTCGGTAGGGAAGTTAAGGAAGCTCGACCGAAGGATGGAAAATGGACTACGTACAAGAAGAACCTCGTTGAGCTTTACAAATTGGAGGATAACAAGTATTTCATCAAGGACCTTGAAACAATGACTCAAGATGAAGATGAGAGCGTACGGGCATTTGGGATGCGTTTCCAGAAGATCTCCGACGTGCTGATGAAGAAGGGGAAGGTCTCAGAGGTCGAGCGATGAACTATCTTCATCGGACACTTGTCCAAAGGTAGGCAAAAGAGTATACTTAGAGATCTTCCGCGCGACAGGCTTGATTTCCTAGAAGTCCTAAAGCTTGCGATAAAGGCAGAGGCAGACGATTACAAGGACTTGGTGTGGAGAGGGATGAGGAGACGTGACTTCTCTCTCTACAAGGAGTATGCCACTAATAGATGTCCTGATTTCAAGGACTATCCCTGGTCGGAGAAGAATGAGGCCGTGGTTGAGGAAGTGAAGGAGATACGGGACATGGTGAAGGGATTGACGAGACAGGTTACAGAGATTGTGACCACTACAGGGGCCACGGCCTACCGGGACAAACCTGGAGGGCCCTATTCACTTCGCTGGGACCGTAGGAACAACAATTCCTGGAGGATTGTCGAGGATAGAAATCCTCGGACGCTGACTGATTAWCGTACGAGGGGAAGAGAGAGAGACGATGAGCCATGGCGACGTAGGGATGATGAGATAGACCGAGACCGCAAAGATCGCGAGCCGTTTGCGCGAGCAAGGAGGCTGGATGATTACCCGCGAAGCCCTCGCTATGAGGCCGATCGGGGTAGACGCGACTCCCGCGGCCGATGGGAGACGGATCAGGGCCGACGGGATGGATATAGGGACGATAGATACGAGAGATCGGACCGAGATGGATATAGGGACGACAGATACGAGAGATCGGACCGAGACGGATATAGGGATGACAGATATGAGAGGTTGGGTCGAGATGGCTACAGAGGTGGTAGGTATGAAAGATGAGATCGGGACTGGGAACGACGAGATGGGTTGCGCGGACGGTTTGAGCGCGGGGGAGATGCGAGAGAGCAGCGCGACGAGTCGCGCGGGTGGTACAACCGAGGGAACCGACGCGATGAGTCACGAGGGCGATATGACTCGGGGGACCGCCGGAATGATTCGCGAGGGCGGTATGAGCAAGGAGGGTCTGGAGGAGACCGCCGCAACGATTCGCGCGGTCGGAATGAGAGAGGGGGATATCACGTCTCATCAGAACCATATCCCAAGTGACCTGACCCCAAGGCAGCCAGGAGTTCGATCTCTAGAAGCGCAGACGACAGACCATGTACTCCCAGGAACTCATGCGTCTACTGTAGAGGAGAAGATCATATCAAGAGGGATTGCCCGGACCTCAAACGGGCAATAGATGAGGGACTTGTCGTGCTTGACGACCGCAAGTACGTCAAGTGGGCAGATGGTCTGGGATATGTATTGATGTTCCCTTCGATGAAGGAGAATGTCGAAGCAAGGAGAGTAAAGCCGAGTAAAGAAAAGGAGCCGATCATGAGCTAGAGCATCAAGATAACCTTTGAGGGGGATATGACGACCACACCCATAAGGGTGGTAGCCACCAAGTCGGCGAGAGGGGTCTACATCGAAGAAGACTGACACGGATTACGTGATGGCGGATAAGGACGGGCAGCGGGTCGATGGAGAGGAGGTTATCCTTTCGCCGCGAAAGAGGGGAGTGAAGAAGTTCTTAATGAAGAGTTCGCTGGACGAGATTGACACGGTCGAGCCACTGAGGCGGGCCCTTCAGCAACCCATGCAGTGCTCTATTCTGGAGTACCTGGCGGCATCGAAGCCGGCTCGTGATGAGTTACAGATGATCACGCGGAAGACTCGCATACCTCTATCGGAGGAGGGTCAGGGGCCCCCTAAGGTGGAAGCTTCTACAGTAGCAGTAACGGGGGTGACTGCCAGAGCGGATCGCATGGCGACAGTCCTTCTCGATGGAATGGAAGGTGTGCCTCCTGACAAGTTTTATATACTTGGTAGCGGGGCCGTGGAGACAATTATAAACGATGGAGCGRTATTTGATGCTGTGATCGATAACGACAGTGAGGCTGTCATCATAGACGAGGACCTGGCAGTACAGGTTGGACTGGGCCTCGATAGGTCATACCTATTCGAGATAGAGACGGCTGATGGGAGAAAGCAACAGATCACTGGGGTTTGTCACAAGGCAGCCATAGAGGTCCAAGGGGTACGAGTGACCCTGCCTGTCTTTGCAGTTAAGAACTGCCGCTCCGACCTGCTCTTGGGTCGAACGTGGCTGAGCCACGTGCATGCGGTGACGATAGAGCGACTTGATGGGAGCCAAACATTGTCCATTAGGAAGCCAGACGGGACGCGGGTAATGATTGAGACAGTGGAGCCTCGGGACCCGAGGAACAGAGCAACTCTCGCTGTGGGTGCGAGAACCAGTGATCAGATTAAGTCTTTACCCATCTCCGGCCGCGCGGTGCGATTTCGCGAGAAGAAATATGGAACTTCGCTCACAGAGGAAGAAGGTCGGATCGTGGAGGTGGAAGATTTAGGGAGTCGGCTAATAGTGGACGGCAACTCGTACCCAAAGGAAAAAGATGAGGAATTTGGCGGTGTGGTATCCGTGTCTTTTTTAAGGGCACGACCCCCTATGGGGGGCTACCCAAGCGACACAAGCGAGTAGCTCAAAAAGTTAAGCCAACGGCTGTGGGCCGCGAGCGATCTGCACTAGAAGGGATATCGGAAGAAGAGATCGCGAAAGAAATCAAAGAAAGAAAGAGAAAGGGGCCACAACGCCTAACGGAAGAGAGGATAGCAGGGATGGACATCGGAGATGGGAATTTGACCCCACAGGAGCGAGAACGTGTGATAGAAATCCTGAAGACATGTGATAAGGCCATAGCTTTTAGTGACGCGGAGCGCGGTAGGGTTAACCCTCGATATGCTAAGCTAGCAAGGATTTACACGATACCACATGTTCCCTGGAATGACGCGGGATGGAAATATGCCCAGAAGGAGAAGGAAGAAGTTATCGCTTTCCTGAAAGAAAAGATGGTTTCCCACGTTGCGGAGCCGTCTGATAGCGCTTATGCTAATCGATGGTTCTTCCTACGAAAGCCGAATGGCAAGATCCGATGGATCCAGGACCTTCAGAAGGGCAACGCGGTGACGATTTGAGACGTGGGCTCCGTGCCACACGCCGATTTACTGGCAGAAGGCGCCGCAGGTAGGTCGATTTATTCGGTCTGTGATCTGTTCTCAGGTTATGATGAGGTACCGATTGACCCTAGAGGCAGGCACCTCACGACTATGCATACGCTATTGGGACTAATCCAGATGATGGTTGTCCCTATGGGTTGGACTAATGGGGTAGCCGTTTTTCAGAGAGCCATGGTAGCCGTCCTCAAGGATTTCATCCCTGATAAGATTGAAGTTTTTCTGGATGACTTTCCTATAAAAGGGTCAGTAAACAAGGATGAGGCAGAGGTTGCACCTGGAGTTAGAAGATTCATCGAGAAGCACCTAACGGATATTTGCGCGGTACTCGAGCAGCTGGACGATGCGAATCTAACAGTCAGCGGAACAAAGAGCCGATGGGCCGTCTCGACTATTAAGATCTTGGGCTTTATCTGTGACTCGAGGGGACGCCGAGCAGATCCGGCGAAGTTAGACAAACTCCTGAACTGACCGTCACCATTACATAGTCCAACCGAGGTCCGACAATTTCTGGGAGTGGTCGGTTACTGGCGTATATTCATACGAAGGTATGCGGAGAAGGCTGAGCCATTGAGACTACTCCTTCGAAAAACTGAGAAATTCTACTGGGATTCCTCAAGGGAACTCGCTATGCAAGAGCTTAAAGATGAATTTAAGGAGGGAGGACGCGTACTGGGTGTGCCATTCTTTGATGATGAGGCTGGGAGACCCTTCATAGTAGCCACGGATGCTGGACCTTGTTCGGTAGGAGCGTTGCTGTCTCAGAAGGACGCTGAAGGGAAGGAAAGACCATTAAGATTTGAGAGTAGGACACTTAATATGGCAGAGCGAAACTACAGTCAATTCAAGAAGGAAGTATTAGTTGTTCTGCGGTGTCTAGACACGTTCAGACATTATATCTATGGACGACGGTTCATCTTGAGAGTGGATCCCACCGCGGTCGCCTCTGTCTTCCAGAAGGACTTTAGCCTGACAGACCCGACCATTGCACGATGGTTAATACGGATTCGACTATATGATTACACAGTAGAGAGGATATCTGACACTAAAAATGTCGTAGCGGATGGGCTCTCTCGGATCCCTCTTGAGGGAGAGCGCCCGATAGTAGCTGGAGCCCTGACAATGGCGGAGCCGAGACGCGCCGAGATATTTCTGGTTAACCTTTACGAGGGCAAATACCGAATGATCGGGCTACATTTGTCAGGAGAGGAGAGTCAATAATCAGATATCCGGAGACAAGCGGCCCAGTACTGCCTTAGAGCTGGCCATCTGTTTCGAAGGCCGGTCGGCTCGGGGATGCCCTTACGAGTAGTCTGTGACCCTGAGGAGAGACAGACAATAGTTGCAGAGCTTCACGACGGGGTAGTCGGAGGACACAGGGGAGTCAAAGGAACCTACGAAAATGACAGTATAAGGACGTCGAGAGGTACTGTATGACCTGCGAGGAGTGCCAGAAGAGAGCTATTGTGAAGTACAAAGAGCCTCTCCATCCATCCTATCCCACCAGACCGGGAGAGAAGGTACACTTCGATCTGGTGAAGATGCCGAAGGGCGTAGGCAATATGAACTACGTCGTGAACAAACGAGACGATATCACTGGGTTCGTGGACGGTAGACCCATCAGAAGTAAGACGGCAAAGGAAGTAAAGAACTTCGTCCTGGAGTACTTATCTAGGTATGGTTGTGTCAGCAAGAAAGTGATGGATAGAGGGGCGGAATTTCTAGCTGACGAGGTCCAGAGTGTGTTCAAGAAAGCCGGGGCGAGAATTTCGATAGCCACCGCCTATCACCCACAGTCGAACTCCCCAGTAGAGAGGAGACACCAGACTGTAATAGCGTCACTGTCCAAGTGGTGCAAAAGGTAAGGACAGTGATTGGCCACGATATTTTCGATACGAAATATGGGCGGACAACGTCACGGTCCGGGCTAGTACCGGATACTCACCGTACACCTTGTGGTTTGGGCGACATTGTCCGCTCCCCATAGAGTTTCACGTCGACAGCTGGACAACCGTCGACTGGGCGGAGGAGATGTCCAGTGAGGAACTCATAGCTGCCCGAACAAGACAGATAGCCTACGGTTTGGAAGATAACCTCATGACAGCGGCAGATCGTCTGGCAGTGGAAAGGGACAAGGATAAAGAGAGATGGGATAAGAACGTGCGAATCAGGAAAGAGAGGGTGAGCGTAAGAGATATGGTGCTTCTCTACGACGCGGCACTGGAGAGGACCTGGACCGGAAAACTCGCAAATAGATGGATGGGACCTTATGGAGTGGTTCAGGCACTCGACTGGGGTGCATATATGATAGCAGAATTGGATGGATCTAAGTAGAAGGACCCAGTGGCGGGCGCTAGGTTAAAGCTGTTTAGACCCAGGCCTGCACCCACCTTATCGTTGATGGGCCCCAAAGGAAAGGGGAAGGCTAAGATGGAGGATGGAGATCCCTTGAGACGATTCGAGGCAGGCGAAAACTCCAAGAAGAGAAAAAGAATAGAGAAAAGAAAGGTCAAAGGGTTAGCTCTAGGAAGAAAGAAGAAATGGTTATTCGTGCTCAAGAGGGTCAAACGGAGAGTCCGCATTAGACAAACTGGCGGGACGGCACCCTTCTCGGGCCAACGACAGAAAAAAAAGAGGATCCTACCAAGACCAAAATTCCGAAAGAAAAGGAAAGTCAAGAAGCATCTTCTTAGCCCTGGAACTAATAAAAAACTGAAACATAAGACAATTAAACGCCGACGTGGCCGACCTTTACGGGCAATCATCCTGAAACTCGTCCGCTTCATTTGACGCAAGTGGATAGGGCTCGACGGGGGCGTCGAGAAGTAGTCTGGGCTAACTGTCAGGCGGCCACGAGCAGTGCGCCGCCTGAAATCTGCGATTTCGGGACTTAGGCTCGGGGACAAGTCCGTGTTTTGACGGTACTCTGGTATGACCAGGCAACAAAAATTGGGGGAACTCAGGGCACCCCTGATTTTGGGCGAACTGAACCTTTCGAGTAACCCTCAAAGATGGCGATGTGGGTAGCTGCTCCCGGCACATCTAGGGACCGTCATTCCCACACGTCCCGAGGCTAGACCTGGGATGGCTGGCTGTGGGGAGGCATAGCGCGTGTTGACCCCGCGGCAATGCTTTTGCAGCATATGATCGGGCTGGAGTAGCGCCTCAAATTTTATCAATTTTTGGTACCTAATTTAAATATGGGAGAAAAGATTGGGAACAGTAGGARGGAAGAGAAAAACGTAATATTCCTTAATTYCCCTATTCTTTCGCAGCATATAAATTTTCAGGAAATACCTCGTTATTTTACGTTTCCGGCAATGAAATATAACAACCAGAGAAAAGGATTAAGAATGGTAAAGGAGAGAAGAAAAAAGGGAATTTCAACCATTTGATTAAACCCCCTCAGAATGCATTTTTGGAGAACCTACGGCTAATTCACTATTTCAGACAATAGAGTTAACGAAAAGGGAGAACGATTAAAAAAGGGTGGAACAAACAGGAGCTAATGATTATTCGATGCCTGGCCCGGTTTTTGCTTGGGATACCCGCCGTCGGCTCAGAACCCCGATTTGACCAAATTCCCTGAGCTCAATTTTTTTTTACTATCCCCCATTGATCGAAACTCTCTATGACGTGTCCCTTATTTACCTGATTGCTAGCCTTACTGAACCCGGCGGAACGGACGATGCCCGCATGGATATGGACAGCGTGGAGTCGTGTTACATTGGGCCGATGGCATGATGACAGGTTCGGTACCGGACATGTTTGAGGATCGGCTTGAGCCGGAATCGGCGTACTTCAGGTTCGGGCACCAGGGTGATTTATTTCCAGGATCGACATCATCACAACTATTTATTTCAGGTTCAGCATCATCATGACTATTTGTTACAGGATCGGAACCGTCACGGAGGCTTACCTTCAGGTCTGGAGCCACTATGACGATGTATTTCAGGTTCGGGATCCTAGTGGTAATTTATTTTCAGGCTCCGCGGTGATTTTTTTTCAGCTCCAGCACCGCTGCGGCAGACTATTATCCGGATTCGGCACCCTCGCGGTGGCATGTGTCAGGTTCGGTGCCATTAAGACAATTTATTGGGGACACTGTGGCGACTTATTTCAGGTACGCCGCCGCCACGGCGGCTTATTTCAGGTTCTGCGGCTTCGGGACGATTTATTTTCAAGTCTGGAGACTGCCGCGGTGGTCTGTCTCAAGCCCGGAACCTGGATGGCAGGTTATTCCAGGTTCGGTGCTATCACAGGTAATTAACTCAGGCTCGGCACCATCACTGCGGCCATCTATACCCGGTTTGGTACCAC